ATTCTTCCCTGCCATTAGCTTCAACTCCTGCATACAACTTTCATGGAGCAACACAGACGTCTCTTCACCCGAATGCTCGCTTCTCCAACCACGAATCAATTCCTTCTCTAAACGATGCGTTTACTTACTTTGTTAGAGCATACCCTCTGTACCCGGACACACAACAGATCGATCAAATCCGAGCTGATGAATACAATCATCTTGCTCTCTCCAAACATGTCTGTCTAGACTACAATGGCCAGTGTCTCTTTTCCTATGCTCAACAGCAAAGTTTCCCAATGGCTACAGCTGCTGCATATTCTTCTTCTCCATCAGGTTCCCCTCCTCCGTTTCTGCATTCCCCGGGATCGCCATTCTTCAACATCTCCCATAGATCAGCGAAACCAAATACCCAGGTGGGGAATTGTGGTCAAGAATCAGAATTTGAGTCCAGAATCAGAAGTAGAATCATGAGGTTTATGAATTTATCAGAAGATGATTACGCTATGGTATTCACAGCCAATCAATCATCAGCCTTCAAACTTCTGGCAGACACTTACCCTTTTCAGTACAATAGAAATTTGGTCACAGTTTATGATCACAAGAGCGAGGCAGTTGAATTGATGGTAGAAAGCTCCAAGAAGAAAGGAGCTAGAATCAGCTCAGCTGAGTTCTTATGGCCAAATCTAACCCTCGCCACTGGAAAATTAAGAAGACTAATCGTGAGTAAACGAAAGAAGAAGAGGAAGACGAAAAGGGGGCTATTTGTTTTTCCACTTCAGTCAAGATTAACAGGAACTCCATATTCATATCAATGGCTGAACATAGCTCGGGAAAATGACTGGGATGTCTGCCTAGATACATGTGCACTCGGAGCAAAGGACATGGAAACTTTAGGCCTCTCTCTGTTCAAGCCCGAATTTCTAATTTCTTCTTTCTACAAAATTTTCGGCGAAAACCCATCAGGATTTGGCTGTTTGTTCATCAAGAAATCCAATGTTTCATTCATAGAGAGTTTAGTTACTTCAACTTCGAGTATCGGCGTTATAAGCCTTATCTCAACATCACCACAATTCCCATTTCCAGAAGAACCAGAGAGTACAGAGATCAAAACTGAACAAATCTCAAAACCCGGCCTACAAAATCAAAATCTCGCTATACCAGAGTCGTCAAATTTACCTAAAATCCGAGAGGACGCTGAAATTGAAGAGGAAGAACTCTCAATTACAGGAATCGTCGAAATAGGGACGCCCTTCGAATCGGCTCGATCAACAAACACAGAAATGGAAATAAACTGCAGAGGGTTGGACCACGCAGATTCAGTAGGTCTAAGATTAATAAGCATTAGGGGAAGGTACCTGATCAATTGGCTCACAAATGCATTGACGAACCTCCAACACCCAAATGCGGAAGAAGGGTTTAGGCAAGGGCTAGTGAGAATCTACGGCCCGAAAATCCAAATCAACCGAGGACCGGCCGTCGCATTCAACGTATTCGATTGGAAAGGGGAAAAGGTGGATCCAAGTATGGTTCAGAAACTAGCCGATAGGAACAACATATCGTTGAGCAATGGATTTCTGAAGCACACAAGTTTCTCGGATAAGAACGAGGAGGAGTTTGAAATGAGAAAAGAGAGAGTGGTGGAAGGTGAAAGAACGGATAGAAGCGAGAAACGACATTGTTGGATCTCAGTGGTGACGGCGGGCGTTGGATTTTTGACGAATTTTGAAGATGTTTACAGGCTTTGGGCTTTTGTTTCCAGGTTTCTGGATGCAGATTTTGTGGAGAAGGAGAGATGGAGATATATGGCTCTTAATCAAAACACAATTGAAGTTTGAAATTTCATTCTATTTCTGAACTCAATCAATTCTTTTCAGTGAAATTCAAATTCAAGTTCATCTTCAAATTTACTGAATTACAACAATATTTATCTTCAAACTTCACTCATTTATTAAGATAGTATTATTTAATTTATTTTTAAATTAACATAAGATTATGTTGTTAAATATTAATTTCTCGATTAATAGATTTACAAAGGAGAAGAATAAAACGCAATTAAAATTGGTAACATAATAATAGAATAAGAGCTTTAAATAGTTAAAAGTTGATGTAATATTAAGAACATTGATACCTTGATTAAAGATAAACTGAAATCATATCTCATAAAGCACCAACACAAATGCTACATCTTCTTCTTTCACTCTACTTTTATTCAACATTGTGTTACCATCAAACAAACAAACAAAAAAACTAGTAGATATGGGATTCAAAAATGGATCATAATTTAAGGGTCTACCTCCTATGGGAACCTACACGGAAAATATTTGAAATTCAAGAACCCAAATGCCAAATGAAAGATACATAGAGAGATTGATTGATTGATTGATTCTAAGCTGCAGAAGTTTTCTGGTTTGGCTTGAAGACATGCTTGACCAGGGAGTCCTTGATGGACAACAGCTCCGGGAATTCGGTCTTCAACTTGGTCGCATCCATCTCGTTGTTGCTCCGAGGAGCTACGATCACTTTGGCTTGCTCCTCCAGGCTGAAGTTCTTCCATGTCAAATTGGGGTCGATGAATTGCTTGTACATCTCCAAGATCTCATTGTGGCTCACCACTCCTGGATTCGTGAAATTCCATATTCCTGTGAGATTTCTTTTTGCCATTTCGATCGATATCGGCAGGAGTTCATCCAAGATCGTCATCGAGTTCGGGATGTCGACCACCTTCTCATATCTAGTTATCTTTGTGATGAAGTTGCGAGGGTTCGATAAGTCGGAGGATATCGGCATCCTAACGCGCAATGTGCACACATTCTCGTAGTTCTTCAGCAGATCCTCCACCTTTTAATCCCCCAAATGTGAAAGTAACATGAAAGTAGAATCCGCCCATCAGATTCAAAGAATATATTTGATGCATTCTCATCGAATAGAAATCAATGATCAGAAATTCAAGACATTCTAATGACAATAATCCAGATCTAAAGAGCATTCACAAACTCCACCCCAAGAACAATCATACATGGCTGATTTCAGTTATGATTTCTCTAAACAGAGCCGTTCACTCTGTAATCATAGATCCACACTCAAATTTCACAACGCATCTAAGAATCATACAGAATCAAAATCAGTGAATAATCAAACAAGAATGAAGCAGTCAAAATCTAGGGCTCACCATGGCTTTAGTCTTGGAATAAAAGGACCCAATGAAATTAGGGATTTCATCCTCCTTGAATCCAATCCCCGAATTGAGAGGATGCGCCGAATCGTACTCGAAAATGCAGCCAGTGGCGTAGTTAATTAAGATCAACCCTCTCTCGCGGCACACATCGGCCAAGTTCAAGGTTCCGACCACATTGGTTCTAATGGTCTCAACCTTATGCGATTCGCACCAGTCGACGTTCGGGCGGCCGGTGACGCCGGCGGCGTTGAAGACATGGGTGGGCTTGACGGCGGCGATGTCGGCCTCGAGGGAGGTGCGGTTCTCGAGGCGGCCGGAACCATACACGAAATCGATCCCCTGTTGTTGACAGAGCTGGCCAAGCAAACCGCCAATCCAGCCGGTCCGGCCGTAAATCAAGAACTTGAGAGGACCTGAGCCACTGTCAGCGAGAATACCCATGGCAGAAGAAGAGAAGGAAGAAGGAAGAAGGAAGCAGAGATTCCGAGGAAATGGGAGAATTGAACCACTTCTTCAATCTGAATCCTGAAGATTTATATAACACAGAAAACCCACTCAAAACACACACACATTTTTGTGCGAATTAAAAACTAATATTTCGGTTTCGGTTTCAGGGTGAATTAACGTGGGGCGTGAATTTTATGAATTATAAAAAGAAATTTCCGATTCCAAAATTTAACTGCCAAATCAAAATTCAAGCAACCTCTCTCCTTAAAGTTACAAGTTTGTTCCTCGATCTGAAACAATTCCAAACCTTTTCAGCTTTTTTTCTTTTCAGACAGAACAAAACCTACAGAATAGTCCGTGTTTTTTTTTTTTTTTTTTTTAAGGTTACCTAATTTTTAAATTTGTGTCACTCCATTTATTACAACAAAAAATAATAATAATTTCTTTTTGTCTCTAATCAAAATCTAATAATTTCTTAAAATTATAATTTTGTTTTTGAAAGAAAAAATAAAATAAAATAAAAGGTGGAGTAAATTGGGCTTTGTCGGTGTTGGTAAATAGATGCACGATGCACAGCGTGGCAGTGACGAGGTAGCGTCTTGATTAATGATTGGATTATATTCCATTCTTGTTTCCAAGACACCTATCCCAAATTTTATATTTGTGAAAAAAGTTTAAATAGAAATTAATTTTTAGACAACTATTTGATTAATAATTTTTAAATCAATTTTCGTTTTTTCCAAATTCAAACTTAAAAATTTATAATAGGAAAATTGAAGTATTTTTCATTTTGAAGTTTTAGAAAATTTGAATGTTTATTTATTTGTTGTTTTAAATTTGTGTTAAATCTTGGGTTTGATTATCCAAAATATTTAGTAAAAAGGGTGACAAACGTGAATTTACGAGGAATGGACCATTTTCTGGATGTGAGGCCCATCACAGCCTCGGGAGCCCATAATTGGGCCCTTACAGCCCACGCATGCCGTGTCATACACGTGCCTTATTAATCTGAACAAAACAAAAGGGTGTCTCTGTCTTTTCACATTCTAATTAATCTGAAGAAAATTATTTCAATTTAGCCAGAGTATTACTTTTATGCCTAAATTACGAATACGATTTTTTTTTTTTTTAAGTGAAGAAAACATTATTAAAATTTAAAAGATATTGTTTTGATTTTCCATTAAAAAAAAAAAAAAAACTAAAATAAATTTAAAGTGAGAGATTAGTGTATTATATAATAAGAGAAAAGAGTATATAAGTGAGTATATTTAATCTTTTAACCTAGAAATGATGAGATTCGTATAATTAACATTTATGACATAAGAACAATACCTGATTTCATAAAATTAATTATGGATAATATGGGAGAAAATCCAAAAAATGAAAGCTGAAGAAATGTAAAAATGGATGTGTTAAAAAGGCAACAATTTACAACCTTTAAAAAAGACAACATGTTAAGCCAATCCAATCTGTGTCACAATCCTTAATAATCTCTCTAACCTCATTTTACAGTAACCTAATCCCATCATTTTCTGTCAGACCATACTTTTGCCAAACCTACAATACAACATATCATATGATTTCCTTATCTCTTGCGCTTTGACTTCAGGGATGTTACTGATTGAGAGTTGCTGTGCCAGTTTCTCTTCCTTTGGTTGATGAACCAATTGTTTATTTGTTTCAGCTGCAACCCCGTCTCCTCCACCAGCTTCGCCTTGTCGTCTTCCTGCAATCGCAAAGGAAAGACGAGATGTTGTAGAGATTCCAACTTCAAAACTCTTTGTTTCCAAATGAAATGGTTGGGTTTGGTTTTTTCCTTACCGTTGGGTATGGCCACTTGGAATGCTGCTGCCACCAGTTCTTCAATACTGTGGTTGTATCACCAGGCAACTTCCCTGCCCTTCTTTTTCTCAGTATCTCCTCTCTCACGTCCTCAATTCTTGACTTGAATCCCTGCAACCAAAATACCATCACGTTCTTGACCCCTTCTAAATCCCAAACAAACCATCCCTTCATTTGCAAGACCATATAAAAGGGACCTGTTTTAGCTCAATCTTCAATTCTTGTCGAACCCTCTCCATCAACGACCTTTCCGATTCGGTTGGAAGCAGCGGTCCAAACCCCATCATGTCGTGTGCATCACCACCAGATTGATCAAGCGAAAACTCCATGGGAACGTCGTCATCGTCGTCTGACATCGTTGCACCGCTTCCTTCACCAAGGCTCACTCCTAAACGCCATGTTAAATTAGCATACAAAGTTGGTAAATTAGCACATCTTTCCATGTTTGGTAATGGGAAATGCATCAAATGTTCAACAAAAGCAAAAGATATAAACTACTTTGACGGTGCCAATAATTAAGGTTCCATCCTACAACTAACTGTGCTTAAAGGATGTCATTATATTTTTAACAACCTCTTCCCCCACAAGACTGGAATTGACATTAAAAGCCACACATTATTGGTCATGTTAAATCGAGGGCGTGACAATTCAAAACCACCCCAATTTCTTGAATAAGATGACAATTTTAGATATTAATATGCACGCTACTACAACGAGCAAAAGATGGATAATGAAAGACTTTACAGTAAAAGAAAAACCCAGCAGAGATTAAATTAAACAAAGCATTTTTAAGTTTCTTGTATAGTAGATTACAGACAAGAAAGAGAGAATTTGAATCTCCATTTAAAAAAAGACACTAATATCTAAACATTTTGAATGATGATAATAACTTGTTTGACTTGCTTACCCATTGTTATGCAGTGTTATTCTCTTTTAACGGATCCAAATTTAGTAGACCAAAAAAGCTGCATAAAGTGCAGGCATTTAGTTTTGTTAAGGGCTGTCAGGATGAGTCTCCAAGGTTCTTTAGGCGGCCTAGGGTCCTTGTAAATAAAAGTTTATCTTTGCACACAAGACCCTACACCACAGCCCCTTAGGTGCTCAGCAGCGGCCATTGGCAGGCACAGTAATGAATAGTTTCTGTGCATTCTACAAATGCTAGGGTTCAAAAGAGAGACACAGAAAGCAGAATATAACTGATCATGAACTCCATGCTGGTTTAGAAATTGAGAATGTAGGGACCAGTGTGGTTGTAGGTGGGCAGCTCTAAAACTGGCAAACCAATCAATAAGCAACAGATTACTTTATTATAATATGTCTGTCTGCCTAATTTCTTTAACCCCCCAATCACCAGATGGTTTGTTAATCATATAACTAAAAAGATTTGTCTTCTTTTTCAAAAGTTTCTTATCCTCAGAAATATTATGCAAGCTTGAATGACAATGATCGGTTGGTGATTAAGGTAATGTCATCATATAGGTTAAATATAGAGGAAATGGAGGAGCTTAGGTTCATGTATTATCCATCCTTGGAAAGCAAAAAGATGAATAACTATATAATAATAAGAGGAATATTATTGTTGTTTAGAGTGGAACAAGTATTGGGAGGGCAAGCAAGCATCGGTTGGTGTCCCATATTGGTGGTACCCTCACCGAACCCAACAGACCAATCCTTTTCCCAACTACAATCTTGGTATTCAGAAGTAGGCCCTTTTGCACCCACTTCCATGCCTGCCTTCAACTCCAAACCCCATGCCCTTTTAAATTACTCCCTTTTTGCCTTTTTTTTAGTTTGATATGGTGCAGTGATTTCGACCTCCGATCTCCATATACCTCAACTACTTGATACTCCTCTTTATGTTGTTTTCCTATCTCTCCGAATGGATCAATTTTTTTTAGATCAATAAACATCATGCATACTGTTCTATGTCAAGGTTTTCACATTCAAAGTTGGAAACAAAATCATGGGTGTGTTTTGGAGGAATTGACGTGAGATACCTGTAAGAGCTTGTAGAGTATTTTCAATTTCACGGCATGCCATAACAGCTTCCACTGCGTGAACCCTCACATGTTGCTGAAGCTGGTCTTTAAAAGAGCACAAAACGATCATATACTGCGCCTGAAGAAAAAAGAAAAGCATCACAAAATGAAACCAAACTCAACCAATATTTAAGTTAAACAAAAAGTGAAAAAACTGACAAGGAAATTGTCGAGTTCTTGGCGCTCGTGAGGCGATAAGGAATGGGCATGTTGGTGATGCTGCTGAGAGGCATAAGATCGCAAAACGTGGTGCGATTGAGCCAACTGAGCGTCGATGATTGGAAGCTGGTCAATCGGAGTAGCAACACGAAGACAAGCAACATGTGCGGCTAAAAGCTGCTCATAGAGCGGATGAGTAGCAATCTCAGCCTTGAGTTGGGCGTTGTCGCCGGAGATGGAAACGTCGCCGCTTAAGGCAGCAGTAGAGGCGGCGGCGGCAGCAGCAGCAGCAGCAGTCATCATTCCCAACCCAGGTTCTTGCATTTGAAACTGGAAAGAGAGAAGGACGGAAGGAAGAAGAGGTGAGGGTGTTTTGATTGAAGAAGAAGAAGAAGAAGAAGAAAAAGGGTTTTGTGATTGAAAATGGTGATGGAGAAGGGAGAGTTTTGTAGGAAGGAGAGAGTGAAGGAGGTATATAGGGATCCGAGACACGAAACTTTCTGCACCACTTCTGAGAATTTCAGAAAAATTTACAAACAGAGAAAAAAGAAGAAAGAAAGAAGAAGAAGAAGAAGAAGAAGAGGGAGAGAGAATTTGTTTTGTATTAGAGACCAAAGGGGGGATTCATAAAAAGAGGGGCTACGGAATCATTACTAAGAAAGGGAGATGGAACCAAATATTTCAATTTAAATTATAAATAAATAAAAAATTAAAAAAAAAAAAGATAAAGCTGCCCGCACCCTGACACATTTCAATTCCTTTTTTTCTTTTTTGAGTTTGGTTCTTTAATTTCTTTTTTTTTTTTTTTTTTTTTTTTTTTTTTTGGATTTTGATTAATTAATTAGGTTCGGTTTCGGGAAGATCAGATATTCAAAAGAAAACACCTAAAAATTGCCAAACCAATTGCATAATAACACATGTTTTTTCTCCCACATAAATATTAAAAAATCATATTTGTTTTGTATGCTTTTTTTTTTTTATCTTAACTTATAATGAGACGTCTTTTTATGGATAATTTGTTTTTAAATTCAATAAATATGATGATAATTGGAGAATTTATATATATATTTGAATAAATAATATGGAATAATAGGTAAAGAAAAATAAATGGAAATTTAAGTATGATTTAAGGAAAATAAGGGTGAGAGTTGAGCTGTCACGGTTGTGCATGCTTCAAGCTCTTTACTTTATACTTTTTTTTCTCCATTTTCCGCGTTTTTATTTTTAATAAAATAAATGTATTTTTATTTATTATGTATATATAATATGGTTTTTGGAAAATTAAGAATTAAGGAAGCGGTTGGTTACACACAAAATGACCCCATACCAACTCCTGTTGGGGCGTTTACGCGCCAAGTTGGTATCGGAGGGTGGACCCCACCTCCTTCAACAACCGAATTTTCGGGTGTCTTCATTTCATGGGATCATCGTGGCCGTTGGATCAACTCCCATCCCATCCCCTGCTCTTTATTTTGTTTTATTTTATATATTTTTGTGATGGTGTGATGGAGTATCAATTGGGCAAATCGGATGGGATATGTTAGTTGTGATGTTTTCTTTTAAATAATACATATATAATTTTTTTTTTTTTTTGTTAATATTCTTTCCTCTTAAATATTTGAAAAATTATCAAATTAAGTCTAGGTTTTAAAAAATATATATATGTCCCAATTTACAAAACATGCCGTTAAATTGTTGTTTTATTGATAAATTTGGATATATAACACAAAGTTGAAAAAAAATAAATTTTATTATTAAATACATCGAATTATACTAATTAAACGAATAATGGTGACGGGTCATGTTAGAGAAAAAAAAAAGTGAAACGAATAATTAAATATTTCTAAGATATATATATTTATATTTTATTACATTCAAATGATTTTATATCGTTTTAGTGACGATTCAATTAATTTGAGATCGGGTGATACGGCTTTGCTTTTAAAAATATTTTAGATTAGGAACGCGTGCTACGGCTTTGACTTTAGGAACCCAAATTTAAATTCGACCAACCTCCAACATTTTCGTCATAATAATTTATTTTTTTTATTCTTTTATATTAACCTTCACAAACATTACTTTTAATTTTAATTTTGGTGTCTACTTTTTGGTTGGGATTGAATGAACAAAAAAAGATTATATTGATTGAAAAAATAATTGAAAATAATAATAATAATAATAATAAGAGTATTAAACCAAATAAATTGTAAAAAGGGAAAGAAGCCAAAAGTAGAAAGAAAGAAAAAGCTTAGAATTGTTTTAAAAAAGATGAAAGAATAAAGAGGGGAAAATACCGTAAAGGTTCGTCCATATATATTGGATGATAATATTATAATATTTGAAAATTACTTTTATTTATTACAAAAAGCTATATGTACCCTTACTGGGAATCTGATTTAATTTCAAATATACAAAATAAATAAATAAAAAAGCCACACAATTGGTTAAGTAAATTTTGTTATAATTTTTTAAAAAAGGTGACATTTGTAGTAGTCAACCAATTTAATACTTGTCTCCCTCAAATATATTAATGATATGAGTTTTAAATTTGGTGGGCAAGTAAAGAGGGATCTAAATTGAAATTCAATTTTGGTTAAACTAAGAAATCGTGTAATTTAAATAGTTAAGATGATAAAATATTAAGTAAATAGAGTTGAGACATATTTGATGTTGAATAAAATGTATAATGTTTGTAATTAATTTCGGGTATAATAAGGTTTTGTCCAACGAGTAATAGTGAGAATTATTGGGGAGGGGGGGGGTATTTCCAAGCTTTGAAAATGACGGCTTTGATATTCCGGTGGTGAGTTTTGAGCCGTCCGATGTCATCGATTGCGTGGAAGTATAAATAAATAAATAAAAAAATAATATGGTGGGTGGTGGAGGTGGCGGCAAGTAGTGGGTGGGGTCTACTTCACAGCTGTTGCTCTTTTGTCGTGTACTCGACGTTCCTCCAGACAGTGACGCGCGTTGCTGTGGTCCCCACTTTTTTAAGATTTATAAAATACTAATTAATTAATCAAATATTCAAAAAAGAAAGAAAAATAAAAGTGAGGGGTTTAAGGGAAATTTGGACGAGAGAGAGAGAGAAAGAATAGAGAGTTGTCAGAATCAGAGAGTGGGATCCACACCATCCCTGAGCTATCGTTTTCTTTGTTTCATCCGCTGCTTATGATTTTTTTTTGTCCTTTGTTTTTCTCTTGCATTTCTTTTATCAATGTTCAAAAGTCAATCCCTTGGTTAATTCAAATCGCTCATGTATATTTATGTGTATATAATCTTAAGACTGTGTTTCAAATTTATATTTCATGAAAATGTTGTAAGGTCAGCCAAAAACAATATAAAGAAATGTCATTTTTTCGGATCAGAAAAATTTTATAATCATCACCATAATCAATTCAAGTAAATATCACTCTGGATGGAATTGGGAGCTTTTCTTAAAAATAAAAATAAAAATAATTTAAAAGACATTTAAATAATTTTATTTATAACCATCGAGATTGTTCTATGAAAATATCTTGATTGTTTTTTATTTTAAAAAAAAAAAGGCATGAAATTCAAGGGTAGGAATTGAGAACTTTTCTAACGCATAAAGAATCAAACTAGAAATATTTATAAAAAGAAAAAACAAAAATAAAAATATGGAAAACCCATCAAATTTGTATCTCAGTTTCAGTACATAGAAGGTGACGAACAAATAAGTGGGTGGGCTATGGTAACAGTTAGATGAGTAGTGGGATTTTATGAAAAAGGAAAAAAAAAAGAAAAGAAAAAAAAAGGAGCAACAATCCAACCGCCCACGCATCACTTTGAATCACGAATACGTCTGTTTGTTCCCACATCCAAACTGCCGACGACCCTATTAAGAATCCCATGCCCCACATTTGGGCCTTCTAATTCTCTGAAGGCCCAATTTCACAAGCCCTAAATGTCTTGTGGGCCGGGCTTTCATTCACACACACAAGTAACTAGTAAAACCCCAAAATTTATGATCTCTCCGTCTCAGATCTTAATATTCAGAAGAAAAAGATTTGAAGAGCCTAAAGAAATGGGAGTGGGGAAATATATAAATATATATACAAAATGGAAAACTGTATCCAAACTCTCATAAAGGAATTAGGTTAGTCAACAGCATGTGGTGATATATGCTGTTAAGAAGACAACAAACAAACAATTTACAGGGAACAAAATTTAAATAAAATTAAATAAAAATGATTTTCTATGGATTCTGCAAAGCCAAAATTCACATCACACTGCACTTTTCCTTCGGTTTTGCGTCAGTCCTCGCGGAAGAAGATGGCGGGGTTTTTCCACTACTTTTAGACACCTGCAAAATGCAACCCCCTGCCTATTTTAAGTATTCCGGAAATGGGGTGGTTTATAAATATATAGACCTAAATTAAATATGCCTTTCTCTTTTGACTAATATATATTAAAGAAAAACAATTAGACTGATAGTTTATGTACAAAGTTATCTTACATCAGTTTAGTTTGGTTATATCAAATGGGTCAAACATCTTTTAAACATAAATTGGAAGTTAAGAGCATTGATGGACAATGTTAAAGTTTAGAGACCTATCAAATATTTATTAAAGTTTCTATACCTATTAGACATAATTTTGAAAATTAAACTAAATTGTAATTTAGCCTAGCATTTATTTTTTGGGAGTTTTCTTCACATGCTTGAAAACGTGAAGCAAATGCAGAAATAAATAAAACCACAACTATGGAAATCAGAAATCATAGGTGGCTAGGTCCAGATGAATTATGTCATAAAAAATAAAAAATTGATACTGAGGATCTATAGCATGAAGAGAAAGTACAAGGCCTGCAACAAGAACAACATACCTGAGGACCCACGACCAGCCTTGAACTGCCGCCAGTAGATGGCTGCTGCACATTTTGCCGCTGTGGTTGTTGTTCAAACTCCTGTTGTTGCAGGGCTATTGCTAATTGCAGGTCAGAACTGCAAAAATTTAAATACCATTGTGATCATCAGCAATCAGCTCTAGTCTGCAAAACATATCCACTAGAATTTTAAATTAATAACTGACAATGAATTTGGCCAGTACTTGGAGTTTTAAGTGAATGTCTAAAACGCTGGAGTGTTTTTTCTCTTTGACAAGAACAATTAGGTATTTAAATAAACTCCAGCTATCCAAATTATTATATGGTTCGGGAATGAAATCATGCAAGGATTGGGGGGGCAGGAATCACTTGTTTAGTTCCCTGAGAGATAAGCTCCCAACCAATGCGAATAAACACAAACATAAGAAAATATGTACTAGAAAAATAGCAATAACAAGATAGGAAGTGTTTTGCAGCATTCCTTGCATGCTTTCGTAAAAAGAGTAATATACTAAAAGTAACGAGATAGAAAGTTACTTCAAATCCAATCCGGCATGTTTGGTGGCATCAATGCTTGCAAGATAATCCTGCAGCATGTACAAAATAGTCTTGGTAAATTGCTAAAGAAAAATATATCAGGGCAGTAAAAAATTGTTCAAATATATATATAACACAAACCGCGGTGCTTGCCATGGCATTATGTTCATCCCAAGATTCATTAGAATGACTTTCTACTTTGAATTCTTTGAAATTACCCGTCATAAATAAAGTATCTCCATTCACCTGCAAAATATTTGAAGTTATAAGTTGGATAGAATAATTAACAAACTGCATAAAAGCAAAGTTCCGCTAGTACAATTGCAGGGCATGATTTGAGTTTAAGATTAGCTAAGAGAAATATCAAGGTGAACATATTAAAGACGTTTCAAATGTATTAAACTATCATCTATGTGAGAGGCCTCCAGTGGCTAAGGAGAATGCTAGGAAAGGAGGAAGAGTGGATTTGAGAAATTCTTCATGTGAAAGTTAGTAATGTGTTGGGCCTGCCTGTGGGTCCTAGGTTAGTTGGGATGACTATTTGGAGTATTTTGTTGAGGACATCCTTTTGGCATTAGTCTCGTGAACAGAGGGTGGAGAGCTACTGAGCACTTGAATCCTCCCTTGAACCGAAGTAAAATTTACTATTTCAATAATTGTCAGAAAATCTTCTATCATGTTGCTATGATGTCTATTACTATTCTTTTAAGCAAAATTATTATTATTATTATTATTATTATATATTTTTAATGAAGTGCCCCACTATAAGTTATTTATGCTCATATAGAGAAAGTTCATTGAGAAGATTTACCTCATTTAGCTTTTCCCACACCAAATCAGGTTGATGAATGTAACCTTGGTCTGTAGCTAAGAGATAAAGCTGGCCATCAAGCTGAAGATGAGATGAGAAAAAATTGGTATTTATTGTTCAACTATAAGTATTTGGTCAGCAAAACCCACCATGGTCCAACTATAAGTAAAGCTGAAACCCACCAATGGTCCACGGCTCTGGCAGTCAAAAAAAAGAAAAAAGAAAACATGGTTCAATTTCAATTCTCGCTGACCTTAAACATGGTGCTGAAGTGATTATTCCGGAAAAAAACACAAAGTTCACGCTCTTTAAGTCCATCTTGTAAGGAGAAGAGGCTGCAAAAGAAATAACAACATGAGGCTCTACACAATACCAGTGAAATTAAACAAAAGTGTCCAGCAGAGAAATTGAGAACGATAGGCAAGAACCAACCCATAAAAAGTTAGCTGACTTGCATTGTTCTTTAAGAAATTCCTGATCAGCTCCCCTGATAACAATTAAGAGGCTTTTCCTGATAAGTTTTAAGGCAATAAATACAATATTGGCAAGTGGAAACATCATTAACCTTTATGATACAAATCACTTCTACCTTGTTTTGGACTAATTTCATCCTTTGCCGGTACATTTGGGAAATTTATTGAGCTTCCACAACCTTGTTCTGCAAGAACCACTTCACCTTCATATACAGGCTCTTGAGCTGCAAGAACCACACTTCGTGCATCCAATATACATTCCTCTCCTTCATACATGGGCTCACTACCAACAGTTGAAGTCAAACCGCCAGGTACATCAACGCATTGAATTTTACCATCTGCTGAATCTGTACAGGTAACAGATGAAGATAGGCCTAATAGTTCACTTGAGTCTTCCTTATCTACCGGTTTATGATCGACTGATTCAAAAGGAGCTGGCATATCATTCTTGTGAGAAATATCGTCAGTATTCTCATTCACCAATGAACTCTCTCTTCCAGAAATGGGATCAGTCTCAATTAATGTTTCATGATTGTCCAACATGTCAGGGCAAATCTTATGCCCTTCAGACTCAACAGTCTCAAGGGGCTTTCCCACATCAGCCTTCAACGGTGAAGAGCTTACTTGCTCCTGTGATACGCCTTCATCATCACTCTTGCTCAAAGAGGTTCTGCAAGAATCTTCGATGGATAAACTGGGCTGCTGGTTAAGATTATTTCCTGCAGCACAAATGTCTTTTATTATGGCCTTCTCCACGGCATCTATGATTGAAACCTTTTCAGGAGATGGTTCCTCATCCAATTTGGTGGCATTAGTGTCCCCCACGGAATCGACAACACCATGATTATCCATTGAGATTGGTGTTACAGATTCAGACAATTTCAAGGCTCTCAACAACTCTGCCTCTTCTTCAAGATCCCCTTTTCTCATTCGTTGCTCATCAGAGACTGAACGAGGTGATTCATCAAATGAACAATTTTTTGAAAGACTTGGAGATGGTACTCCAAGCGTTGCTGTTGTTGCAGCTACAAAATCAATACAATCATCTTCAGGATTATTACTACATTGATCCTCCATGTGCTGTGTTTCCAGAGCAACAAGCTCCTCCATAATAGCGTTGTAGGATTTGGAACCAATTGCACTAGCAGTATCATGATCCTGCACACAGAAAGAACAGTAGGAAACGAAGTATATCCTTGAATTTAAGTAGGAAGGTCAAACCAAATGGCGGAATAAAGATAGAGCTCTATTCCCACTATCAATAAAGGGTGGTCCGTAAACTTTTTCAATATATATATTTGAGTTTTAAAAATTGTAACAAATATATCTTTGTACCAACTGCCAACAAGTTCTAGGGTGGTGGCATATTAAGAAATAACAGCCTAGTAGGTAGCCTTGGAGAATCCAACATAGTTCTTTAGTGATCAAGTTCAGAGGATCCAAGGGACCAAAAGCCCTGTAGGCTACATTGCAGACATCTTGAATATCAGTCCAATGTTTACAACAATGGCTTCATTATCAGTCCAAGCCTACCACAAAACCTTCATTACCTGCACTTCTATTTATTAAACATCTCCCCTAATTCTGTAATAATTCAACCATGGCAACCAGAGTTTGACCAACAAAAATGGATTTTACCAAGAGATTTAAGATCCCTAATATAAAACCTTTTTTCTTTTTAAGTCATGAAGGAACCAAATATATAAATAGACTTTCAAGACATTGATAAAGTCACATGCCTACAACTTGAGAATAGGAAGAATGAAAATCAACATAGAGCACAAGAAACTCTATAGTATTGTTAATTTAATTTATCTTAGTAATTAGAAAGAAAGTATATAAGAACCTGAGGATCAACTATCCAACCATGATATAGAGGAATATCCAACAAATCAAAAATGGCGCATTCTGGAGTGAATTCAAAATCATCAATCCTGCAAGTACAACATTAAACTTAGTTCAGAAAAAGACAAGAAAACAAAAGGACTAGGAGAGGACTAAAGCTTATACCTACCTCCTAAACCTAATATTTACATCTATCCCTGTTGCTAGCCGTGGTAGCAGATCAATAGCATCAGCAATGTTCTGTTGTTGATTCTCAACAAAACCAGCATCTTTGTTCTGTTACCCAAAAAGAGTTTATATAAGAACTGAATAAGAAGAAAATGGGGTGAGAGAAATCTTTCAAAGAGTATAGAGAAGAAAACTATTTACATCAACATTACTATTTGAATCAATCAACCGTTCAGCGACCAGAGACAACAATTTCTCCTGCGATACTTCTGTTGCATCTGGACCCAAATTTAAGTTGTTCCGCAACAAGAGAACATTGCCTGCAACAGCCCCAACGTGAATAACCGAAGATGGATTTTTACTAGTCTAACAAAAAAAAAAACAACAGAAGACACCAAATAGTGTAAAAATAAAAGCATCTTAATAGAATGAGCATCCTTAGGTAACTGAATATTGCTATGAAACTAGTTTGTTTCAGTTTTCATCAATCTTCAGGTAGCTAACAACTTTGGAATTCTAATATCTATTGCTTGTAATACATCCAAGCCAGTAGCAAAAACAACCAAACTCAACATAAAAAAAAAAAGGTGCACAATATTCTGATAAGCCAGGCACAGCACATTGCACATATAATATTATAATGCATAATTTATATTTATGGAAAAGTAAGCTATTTATTCATTTTTAGAGATTCTAGAGTCATAATACGACTTCCTATTCTACTGAAAATAAAATCTATAAATGCAAGAGTAGAAATAATTCATTCAGAATGTTTGAAACAAGAGAAATCTATGGTGAGATTTTAGAAGATCAACAGCTGGGAGTTCAAAACAGATCACAGATCCTAATGGGCTCCAACATCTACCGACCCCCTCCTTTAGATTACTAGTAGCTTGAAGACAGCTCACTAGAGCCAGTGTAATTAACTGGTTTTTTTTTTTTTTTTTAAAGACATGAGTGGAGTTTTTTCCTCAGCCTATAAATATGGCTGCACTGTATATTTTATCACAATTAATGAGAAAAGGGTTCGATGGTTTTCTCCTTCATTTTTTTTATTGTTCTCTTCCTTTAAGAAGCAATTATAATTTGAAAACGTTGAGAGTATTGTTTGTCCCTAACTCCTGTTAATAACTAGTTAATTGTACAGTAAGCTACAGAGTTTGATCAATTTTGTTGTATTGGTTTAGTCTGTTAACAGCACTAAGCTTTGTTTATTAAAAGCTTAGTCTACCCTTGTATTGTGCACTTGTGGTTGCTTAATAAAATAGACTCAAGTATTACATCAGATAGAATAAGTCTAGTTGTGTGGGCAATAGTTTACAAACCAGAAATTGAGAGGACAAAAGTAAAATGCCGAAGATACAGATCATTTACCCTCGTGTTTATGATCTGATAAGTCTAGTTGTGTGGGCGATTTCCAATATTTGTTAAAATTCTATTCGTATAGAGAGAAAGAATAAAAGGCTAGAATAAAATGGGAAGATTCTATGCGGTATCCTGAGGTTATTGTTTAAAAGAAAGCTAATGATCATACAAAGTAAAATGGGAACTTCTCGTGGATCAAAAGAATATCATACAAAATAATAATATTAATAAAAATAAAAATTCCAATGATCTAAAGAAAGATAGAAAAAATCCTAAATACATTCATTTCAAATCTGTCTCGTTCAGAAATAGTTAAAAAAAAACTTTAAGTCATCTACCCATGAACGTTTTTGGAAAAGGTTGAAGGAAAACTGAAGTTAACTCCTAAAATATGGAAGAAGTGTGGGTCTGTTAGGACACTCCGGTCACCAAAATATTGAAGATGCTAAGTAATCAGGAAACGGGAAAGAGAGTGAGAGTAATAAACCCTAAAATGGCCATTACTATTCAATTTCTAAATAAATCAATAGGCAGAGTGAATAAATGAAAAACAATCATACTACAGACGACTGAACGTTCGATCACCATTGACAAAAACATATTCCATAAGAGAATTTAGCATTGGCACAGACGGACTCGTTACGGCCCTCAAACATTCCGCGATCAGATAAGCACAAGTAAAACAACAGAAGAAGAACATAAATTCAACTCCAAATCTCCAATCCAATATGCGACTAATCCACCAAAAACCACCCGCCCACGCGATTACCTACTCTACCGGAATCAAATTCAAACAAGCAACAACAGGCGTCCGAATAGTCTCACGTAAAGGAAGGAAAAATGTGGCCAGAGCAGAAAACGATAGCAATCAAGAGTGAAACCCTAACATGCGGAAGATAGATAGATAGACAGAGATAGGGAGAGAGATGATTACATATGGCGAGGAGAGGGCATGGACCATTATCGTTCTGGAGAACAATAGGCGTAGAGCGGCCAAGAAATTGAATAGTTTTGGTCTTGTATAGGCATTCATTTTCCTTTTCCTTGGGCGGCTGCTGTTGCTGTTGTTCCAGGGGTGGATTTGGAGGGTCTTCAGAGGAAGAAGGCGACGCCATGAGCGATCTCTTAGGAATTGCAACCCCGTAGTTGCTCACTGTGTTTTATACACACAAATGGTAAAAGGAAAGAAATGAGAGAAAGGATTTGAGAATGTGGATTTAATTGCAATCCCTTCTTCATTTACTTCTCCTTGTTAAATTACGCGTTATTGCTTATTTTATAATTACAATAAATAAATAACCGAAACTTATATTACATCAAACTTAAGACGGTGAGTAATTTAATATTTGTTGAGGAAAGTTTTGTTTGCCATATCTAAAAAAAAAATATGTCTACAAAATAATATCTGGGTTAGAATTGCAATCATAATTTTATATAAATAAAATATTTTAAACAATTTTATTACCTTTATATTAAAATAATTTTAACTCATTAAATTTTAATTTAATTATCATTCACATACTTTTAAAGTAATAAATTTTAATAAATTATCCTTAAATAAATTAATTTAATAAAATTATATAAACTTTTTGTTTGGTCTTTGTTTTGTTTGTCGTGAATTTTCCTTAAATCTAAATAATATTTTAATTATTTAGTTTACTGGTCTAGAATGTAATTTATCTCTAGCTCGTCATTAAAAGTATATTTTATAATTATAATTTAATTTTATTATTCTTTAAAATACATGCAATAATATATTTTTACATCTTAAATTTTTATAACCTTTAACAAACTAAAGCGAACATGGATTCGATGATGGCCCGATTAAAAAAAAAAAAATGCATCTCTTACACGAAGGTTAGGGGTTGGATTGTAATTGTGCACCAACTTACTTCAAGAAATTAATATGAATACTTCCTTGTTAAGAAATTGTTTATTACTTTTGACTACCTAATTTGCAATTACCTTATTTATCCTTTTTGGAATTTGTGTTCTACCATTTTAAAATAAAATGTAGTTGTTTTTTAAGATCATTTTTTTAGCTAAACAATTGCATTTTTAATTATAATTCTTACTATGTTGTCTTCTTCTTTTAAAAAATATAATATTTTTTTAATTAACCTATAGTTATTTGATTTCTTAGAGTTGAAATTAAAAAATAAATTATCAATTGAAGAAGCCAAATAAAGACGAGCTAGCTAGCTAGCTTGACTTATTGTTTCAAATTGTATCATGAATGCAGTCTAGGGGTTGGATTGTAATTTCACACCAACCTACTTCAAGAAATATTGATCCATTTTCCAGAAAAAATACATAAATATTCATACTTCCTTATTAAGAAATTGAATACTGCTGCATATTTCTCTCTTTATTTTCATTATTATTTTTTTTAAATTGTGATGTACCATTTAAAACGCTGTTTCTTCACAACCACCCACAAATTATATTTTTCAAAATTCCATTTAATTGTATCTCATAATTATTTCTCTCTTAAAAATATATATTATCATTTCTCATACAACTCTAAATTTATATGTTTCTTAATAAATTTGATTGCTCCAAAGGATTTATTTGTGATATATTTATCCGCATCTGGTTTAATTATTAAAATTATTAAATTAAACTTTTTATTTATAAAATATAATAAGGTAGGAACGAGCATTAAAAAGCTAGAAGCTTGAGAGAAACAAGTATAATACTTTTAAGTAATAATTAGTTGAGTAATGTTTGAATTAACGATAAATAATTCGACATTTAAATTATTTTTTATAGAATATCCAATGTAGATTATTAATTAAAAGAAATTACACGAAAATATTCCATTAATTAAATTCGAACACCAACTATCTTTATTAAAGGAAACTTTGGATGCACCTTTTATTTTTTTTTTTGTTGGTCCTTTTTTGTTCACAGTTTGTAAGAATGTTTTGAGTAATTTGATTTACATAATTAAAAACGTATTTGAAAAATAGTTTAAAAGGTAAAAAATTTATTTGAAGGCGACCATTTCTTCTAATTTAGGAGGCAGTCCTCGGATTTAAGTTAAATTAGCATATGAACCCCAATAAAACAAACAAAATTTGGAAATGGCAAATATTGGAAATTGTTCTCCCTAGATTATTCACTTGCCAATAAAAAGAAATACAAAAATGAAAAGACTCACCAATCAAGGAGGAAGAGGCACGTGACATAGTAGGACGATGTTCCCGACGGACGACGTGGATGCATCCCGTTGGTCCAGCTCAGAACCGAATCGTACGGAACAATAAAACCCATCAAAATTTTAACGTACGGAGCAACATTTGTTTAAACCCTCAAACGAAACAGCTTTTACGGTGCTCCAAATTTTAGCTGCAACCAAAACCCAACTGAAAAAATCTTCCCTTCTCTAAAACGGGCTTCTTAAGTCTAACCGGCAACCGACAGGAATGTTTGGTTGCTTCGCCATCAAATGCCTCCTTTGCCTCTCTAAGGGTCACCGCCATAAGAGGTTGTCAGTCACTTTGGCTACGTGTCGCCACGTGAGCTGGTGGCACACTAACCCTTGTGCACCCAGATGTGAGGGAAAAAGGAAAGGAATGAAAGGAGAGTAAAAGGGGAAGCATGGAAATGGGTTGCATTTTATTCTGTTTGGTTTCTTTTTTTGGGAGGTTTATATTTTGTTTCCTGAGATTTCCCGAAAAAGAAAGAGATCAGGTTCTTCATCACTTCAAATTCTCTTTCCTTCTAAGCCTTTTTTCTTCTTCTTCTTCTTCTTCATCTTCTCTTACATTTCTAGGGTTCTTCCAAGCTAAACTCATCCTCCACTACATTCTTCTCCACAAGAAATCAAACCATTACTTCAATCCCTTTCTTTTCTCTCTTTTCATATCTCAAAAAACCCACCACTTTCAGAGGTGAGCCTTGTAAAAATTTGATTTTTGATCCATTTATCCAAATGGGGTTTCATTAAATTCTGTTTTGATTTCTGGGTTTTGATCAATTTTGTATTTTTCGTGAGATTTTTGTCCAAATCTGACCTTTGTTGTTGAAAAAGGAAGCATTTTTGTGAGAAAGTAAAGGAAAAGAAAAATGGTGAGGGGAAAAACTCAAATGAAGCGCATAGAGAATGCTACAAGCCGGCAAGTGACCTTCTCAAAGCGGAGAAATGGGCTGCTGAAGAAGGCCTTTGAGCTATCAGTTCTTTGTGATGCTGAAGTTGCTCTTATCATTTTCTCTCCAAGAGGCAAACTTTATGAGTTTTCAAATTGCAGGTACTTTTTTTCTTCCTTTATTTACAAAAACCTCTCTTCAAATCTCTCAAATCACCGTCCTTTTGGGGTTAATTCTTAATTAACTTATGTGTTTGTTTGTTTTCTTTTGGGCACTGTCTATTTCCCTTGGCTCTTCTATTTCTTTCTCTCTTTGCAATCAAATTAGTACTGCCGTCCTTCTCTTATTTACCTAACCCCAACAAGATTTGCATTAATGGGTCACTGCCTTAAACTCATTTCAAATCTTTTTTACTGTTCTTCCTGATCTAGGGCTTGTCTGGGGACTACATTATTTTGTTTGTTTCTTCTTGAGTAATTGAGGATCACTTTGTAAATTTGTTTTTCAACAATTTTTAAAAATAAATTTTGTATATTTTCAATGTATGTTCATAATATTTCATGTTATAAACTTATTCTAGTTTTGTTGTATTTAACTGAAGCATAATAATAATAATAATCATAAGGCTTAGAATCAAAAGTAGTCCTTAAAAGGAATGAAATTTCTCTATCTCCAAGGTCATTCTCAGGCTTTGTAGATGAACAAAAAAAAATAAAATAAAATAAAATAATTTAAGCAAATGCTAGGCTATCCAAAAATAGGAAGCTATAAGAACTTTAATAGGGACATGATTAAGAACATTTAGCTTCAGAATCCAATGGGAGATCAAATTTCACGATGCCCCATTTGGTTATTTAATTCCACGCATGGCTTTGAAGGCCATATCCCAATGAACATGGGAAATCTTGGTCTTCATTTTAAACTAACCCTTTGATTAAAGTTCCAATCTTTCCAATGAACAAAGGTTGAATGTTGTAATTGGATTAAAATTGGATTAAAATGAGTAATTAATATTAAGTTCTAAGTTTGAATGTGGAGTTAATTTTGTTGTTGGGATGGAGATGTTTCAGTATGAACAAGACAATTGATCGGTATCAGAACAGAACCAAAGAAATTATGTGTACAAACAACCAAGGTTTAGAAGATGTGCAGGTTGGTTGATTCTAATACACATTCATGTTTGTGGTTCCTTATAAGCATCGAAAATCAAACAGAAACAAAAACATATCTGTTTTGTTTTTTTTTTTATTATTATTTTTATTTATGTTTCATGTGTTTGAATTATCTGACGAACTGATGAATTTGTTTGGATTGAAAGTTGGAGAAGGAATTTGACTCATTTACCATGACTAAGAAGTTACAGCACCTTGAAGTTTGTAAAAGGTTTGAGATTATTTTGAAGAAAAAAAAAAAAAATTCTCTCCTATTTTCTTACATATTTATTAATCTACAAACATGCTGAAGCTCTCATGAAATAGTACAGAAAATTAATGGGAGATGGCTTGGATTTGTGCTCCATGGAAGAGTTACAGCAGCTTGAAAGGCAAATTGAAAGAAGCTTAACAAAAATTAGGTCAAGAAAGGTACATTCATGTCTCAGATTCTAAAACATTTCCCCTTTTTAGATTTGTTCTTATTTTGTTTCAATTTCAGTATCAATTACTGAAGGAAGAAATTACGAAGCTGAAGGAAGAGGTAATTTTCATAACATTATTTACATAAATGAATTAAAACTATTGGTGATTTGAATTTTGATTTGGTGAATAGGAGAAAATGTTGCTGGAAGAAAATGCAGCTCTCCTGAAGAAGGTTAAGCATTCTTTTTTGTTTTGATTAATGTCAATTTCCTTACAACTGTTCCTCGTACAAATCCATAAAATTCAAACAATAAAATGAATGTTTTTTCAGGTTGGAAGTGAATGGAACCGCCAAGAAGAGGCCATGGATGTTGAGACCCAACTGTTCATAGGGCCATCAGACAGAAGAGGTGGCAGTGGCTTCCTGTGTAGATATCTTCATAATCAACCCACTTAATAAAGACACAAGCTTTGTGTTGAACCCCAAAAAAAGGTGAGTTTTTTACATGCAGTATTAACACTAAAAGTGAAACCAAAAAAATTGGTTTCTGATAAAATGTTTGATTAAATACTGTTACGAGGAATCAAACTATCTGTATATTTAGGAAGCGTTCCTTGTCGGATAATGTTGTTTTCTACTTGGTTTTTCCATGTGGTTTCACTGCATAACATGTTTGTGTTTCTCTTTTTATGGTTACTTTGCTTTAAAAAAAAATGTGGAAATTTGGTGGTTTAATGAAATCATATTAAGTTAAGTTAGGGTTATGGCCTTTTCTCTCCCATGTGCAGTATCGTACACAGAGATTGAAGCTCCCAAAAGTTGAACCCTAATTTGGAAATTAGGATTTTACCCAAAATTGGCTGTCCTTCAGATTGATTGATTTTCCCCAAATCTGGTGGGATTCATGATAATGACCTCCACCAATTAAACCCTCAAATTTCTTCTTTATAACATTAATTTTTTTTTTTTTCTTCCTTTCAAAACTATATATTATATCAGCTCAAATTTGTCTTATTACTTATAAAGCGATTTTACCCGAATTGAAAGTTACTATTTATACTAATAAATTAAGTTATTACGTTCTTTTCGATTTTAAAAAACTTCCAAATTAAATATATTTTGATTGGAGCAATTATATGTTGGGTGACCTATTAAGAATTTTCCTAAGATCGTGTTGGAAAAAGAATAAACTTCGGTTTAGATGCAAGAAATAAGATGTAAGAGAATGTAGGATCATTACGTGGTTTTCAGAATTTTAAGCAGAATTCATTATGAACGTGTTGTATAATTTTTAACTCTTCAAATTATTGTTTACCCAATGGATTTTTTTTAGTTAAATATTTAGAATTTAAAGTTTTAAATGCTAATTGATATTTTAGCTTAGAAGCAAAAATCTTTCAATTCCATCCCGTGATTAATAAATCTATAGTTTTTGGCTCATGAATAACGTTGTAAAATGCTTTGTGGTCAAGCACACTAAACAACAAAAACAGAAAGTTATAGGATAAATTGTTGTTTGTATTCATATTGTAACTCAAACTGAGCGATAGGTTGTTTCTTTTCAACAGAGGAGAAGACGAGATTTCGCATCTCAAACAACAGAAATTGACGTGACATTTTGAGTGAATAGCTTTGAGTGAACATGTTAAAATGATTCGTGTACTTGTGGAGATAATTTTATAAAAACGAAGAGTAAGTAATATGATCATGTTAGAGCGGGATGCAAAGACCATCACATATCGAATCTAAATTTTAAATAAAAAATTCAATCTTTCTCCCATCTAGCCAAAAGAGAGATATAGGTAGAAACATACAATCTTGAAAGTGGGGTAAGAATCTTATTCGTGCTTAGTTACATGTGAGATATTGAAAGGTAGACGATCCCACCATGATTTAATTTGAAATAAATTCACTTTATTGATTGTAATTTAAAATAATTATACAGGTAGGGACGTCCACGTTTAAAATGAAAAAAAAAAAAAAAAACTACATTAAAGTACTTAACAAATAAAAATATAACAAGAAACCAATGTTTTAAAATTACATTATTTATCAATACGCTTATAAAATCTTGTTTATTTCTAAACTTACAATTTTATCTAATAATTAAATTAAAGTTTTAGATTTCAATAATTAGAGATAATTCAGCTAAATAATACACATGAGAGAAAAAATAATAAAAATAAATTAGCAATTTAAGAAAACATTTGCGTACACTAAAATAGAAAAGAAATGAAAGGTTTGCGGGTAAATTAATGAAGGATTGTGATTGGAGGAAATTAAAGTCAATTATGGTAACGCTGTCGTTTAAGCAGCCGTCCACGTAAGAAGGTGGAGGAGCTGGAAGCTTACTAGAGCGCTGGGAGTGGCGTGCTTGAAGCAACCGCGAGGGGCAACGCAATTCATTTCCAACACGCTTCTAATTCTCCAAATTTCTGGATTACACCAAACCAATACACACACAAGAAAAAAGAAGCCCCTAATTTTTTTCTTTTTCTTTTTCTTTTCCTTTTTCTCCTTTTGTTTCGTAGAAGCCTTGTTTTCTGCAATAGCATTCCAGAGCTTTTCTTTTTCAACGAACCAACCCCCGACTTTCTGGACCTAATTCTGCAACCCAATCCCCAAAAGCAAACGCCATCGGAGAATCACAGAAGAACAAACAAAAATGAGGGGTTTGACGGCGAATTCTTCTGTTCTTCTTGCTCCTTCAAACCCATATCAGAATTCCTCTCTGTTTCCTTCTAAACGCAAGTCCAAGAAGAAGAACCATGCCATGGTTCCTGTATGCGAGATTTCTGCTTCTTTTCGTTTTGATTTTTGATTAAAGAATGGATTTTTGAAGATGGGTTTTGTTTTGATTTGTTGATCAGGTAGCGAGGCTGTTTGGGCCGGCCATATTTGAAGCTTCCAAGTTAAAGGTTCTGTTTTTAGGAGTGGATGAAAAGAAGCATCCTGGCAAATTTCCCAGGACTTACACGCTTACACATAGCGATATTACCTCTAAACTTACTCTCGCTATTTCTCAGACCATTAACAACTCTCAGGTAACCCCTTTTTTTTGTTCCCCCTTTTCGATTTATAGATTCCGCGAGTAATCCAGAATGAAAATTTCAACATAATATTGATACTACTAATGAAATACAAGTCGTTGAATAAATGATCCAAAACTGGCAAGCTTTACATAGATCTAACTAAGAATAAAGTAAAAAAAAAAAAAATGGTAAATTTGTGGTTTGATGGATTAAAAATGCAGCTGCAAGGATGGTATAATTGGCTACAAAGAGATGAAGTGGTGGGAGAGTGGAAGAAGGTGAAGGGAAAGATGTCGCTTCATGTTCATTGCCATATCAGCGGCGGCCATTTTCTTTTAGATCTCTGTGCTAATCTCAGATACTTCATCTTCCGCAAAGAACTCCCTGTGGTGATCTCCTATTACTTCTCTCTGTTTTCATTTTAGGTTCATTAAGGACGCACTCATTATTTTGGACATAATTGAAGTCTAGAACGGGCTGTTGGGTTCTACCGTTTTACCTTACCCCCTAATAATTGCAGGTTCTGAATGCGTTTGTCCATGGAGATGTGGACTTGTTCAACAATTACCCAGAATTACAGGACGCGTTGGTCTGGGTTTATTTCCATTCGAAGATCCCAGAATTCAACAAAGTTGAATGCTGGGGCCCACTCAAGGATCCAGCCCCACCTTCAGCTGGACTTGATGGGTCCAATTCAGATGAGCCCATATGGGATATGGGCCAAATGGAGCGGCCCAAACCTTGCCAAGAAGACTGCTCTTGTTGCTTCCCAACCATCCCTTCCATTTCATGGTCACCCAAAAATGAGTTGGAGAGTACCTGATTGATTTGGCTGGGGTTTAAGCTTAAATGTAAATACTTCACATTATATAATATAGACCTCTCGTTTGCTCCTATACTTTCACAATCATGTTTCGATTCGGTATGTTTTATAGTTTCGATTTTAATTCGTTAATCTTTGGGGTCGTTTTATCGTGTTAAATGGAGTTTTAACGAGACATTTATAATAATAATATATAACTAAATTATTTCTAAATTTCCACACTTTCTCCTTGATTTCTTATAATATTGAATAATTAAGATTTGAAACTATAATGGAAAAGAATAATACATATGTACATGAATTATACCCCAATATCTATGAATGAATCATATGAATAAATATTCTCTCCTCTCTTAAATTTACAAGTCACGGAAGTAATGATCAAAATATTGGGTGATTATTTACTAAACTATATATATATATATATATATATATATATATATATATATATATATATATTTTTTTTTTTTT